GTTTTAATACAGGTAGAGGTCAGTTCTGAGCCGCAGCTGAAACGCTGGACATCGCTTTGCTTTAAAACACACTGGTGGCGTGGATGGAGCCTCAGACCCTTCCTGTCCAGGGGCCTCATTGGTGGTGGTTGAGGTGAGTCCCCCCCCCACTTCACTGTGAAGCTCTGTATAAATGGAATGCGTTATTATTTCTAAACGGTGCGTACGAACAACACAGAAGGATGACGAGGCCTGCTGCTGTGGAACATTTCCAGGCTCAAAGCCTTTCTGAAGCCTGACTGATTGTCCCTGAAGTGGCAATAAAAAAACAGAATTTAAGATCATTTGCGGCCACAAAGAGATCCAGGATCAGAAACACAAACAGATTCTGTTTCTGCAAAAGAGCCTCAAACATGTTTAATCAGGAATCAGATTGATTAAACCTGCATGCAGCAGTTTGTTCTCCTCAATCAGGTGAACAGGAGCGAGTCAGTCGAGCAGAGCACAGTTTCATGTGTTGTTCGTTTCCTTATGGAGCCAAACGCTAAGCGCCGGCGTGTGGATGTGACGGGCGGCAACAAAACACTATTTTATGTAATTTCCAACACGCCGTGTTTCTTTTCCTCGTTCAGCGAGCCGACTAAATGTTTAAACTCAGAGGAAGTCGTTCGGTTTCCTCTCTTTTCAAACATCCCGTCTGTGTGGCCCCCTCCAGCCAGCGACGTCACTACTCAGAGGGAGGCCCCTTCCTGCAGGTTGGTTATAAAGGGGCGGGGCTCCAGCGTTGGTAAAAGTGTGTTTTTTACCCACCAAAAGGAACGCCAGCGTCCCTCAGTTAGATTCAGAGTCTGCCTCCTTTTCGTCCTGCAGTCAGGACGCGTTAATATTAACGAGCTTCACTGAGCGTTTACATGGAGCGCCCTCACAGGGGCCACATTTCTCACACACTGATTATAAAGGGGACTTACTCACAGATGCGTACTCTCGCTTTGATAAGTCTGAATGTTTTTGCTTTTTGGGTGCACGGACACTTACAGTGAGGATCCTACGCAGAGTTTTATAAATAAGCCCTGATCAGCTGCTCCTGTTTATTATCTCTGCTGCAGACGCTCTGAGGAGCTTCAGCTTGTGTTTCTCATCAAGTCTGCTGATAAAGTTTGTTTTGAATTAATCAGAGTCTCTCTCTCTCTCTTCAGTCTGGATCTGCAGACTCTCCAGTGGAGAAATACTTCAGTCCGTCGATGCTGCAGGACCCCTGGGCAGCTCTGCAGCCCGCCACAGGCCGCCAGACCAGCAGCCTGACGGGGAACGGCAGATAGCAGCAGCAGCAGCAGCAACAACAACCAGACGTCCTGACAGGCAACAACAACAACAACCAGACGTCCTGACAGGCAACAACAACAACAACCAGACGTCCTGACAGGCAACAACAACAACAACCAGACGTCCTGACAGGAAACAACAACAACAACCAGACGTCCTGACAGGCAACAACAACCAGACGTCCTGACAGGCAACAACAACAACAACCAGACGTCCTGACAGGCAACAACAACAACAACCAGACGTCCTGACAGGCAACAACAACAACAACCAGACGTCCTGACAGGCAACAACAACAACAACCAGACGTCCTGACAGGCAACAACAACCAGACGTCCTGACAGGCAACAACAACAACAACCAGACGTCCTGACAGGCAACAACAACAACAACAACCAGACGTCCTGACAGGCAACAACAACAACAACCAGACGTCCTGACAGGCAACAACAACAACCACCAGACGTCCTGACAGGCAACAACAACAACCAGACGTCCTGACAGACAACAACAACAACCAGACGTCCTGGCAGGCAACAACAACAACAACCAGATGTCCTGACAGGCAACAACAACAACAACAACCAGACGTCCTGACAGGCAACAACAACAACAACCAGACGTCCTGACAGGCAACAACAACAACAACCAGACGTCCTGACAGGCAACAACAACAACAACCAGACGTCCTGACAGGCAACAACAACAACCACCAGACGTCCTGACAGACAACAACAACAACCAGACGTCCTGGCAGGCAACAACAACAACAACCAGACGTCCTGACAGGCAACAACAACAACAACCAGACGTCCTGACAGGCAACAACAACCAGACGTCCTGACAGGCAACAACAACAACAACCAGACGTCCTGACAGGCAACAACAACAACAACAACCAGACGTCCTGACAGGCAACAACAACAACAACAACCAGACGTCCTGACAGGCAACAACAACAACCACCAGACGTCCTGACAGGCAACAACAACAACCAGACGTCCTGACAGACAACAACAACAACCAGACGTCCTGGCAGGCAACAACAACAACAACCAGATGTCCTGACAGGCAACAACAACAACAACAACAACCAGACGTCCTGACAGGCAACAACAACAACAACCAGACGTCCTGACAGGCAACAACAACAACAACCAGACGTCCTGACAGGCAACAACAACAACAACCAGACGTCCTGACAGGCAACAACAACAACCACCAGACGTCCTGACAGACAACAACAACAACCAGACGTCCTGGCAGGCAACAACAACAACAACCAGACGTCCTGACAGGCAACAACAACAACAACAACCAGACGTCCTGACAGGCAACAACAACAACCACCAGACGTCCTGGCAGGAAACGACAACAACAACAACAACCACCAGACGTCCTGGCAGGAAACGACAACAACAACAACAACCACCAGACGTCCTGGCAGGAAACGACAACAACAACAACAACAACCACCAGACGTCCTGACAGGCAACAACAACAACAACCAGACGTCCTGACAGGCAACAACAACAACAACCAGACGTCCTGACAGGCAACAACAACAACAACAACCAGACGTCCTGACAGGCAACAACAACAACAACCAGACGTCCTGACAGGCAACAACAACAACCACCAGACGTCCTGGCAGGCAACAACAACAACAACCACCAGACGTCCTGGCAGGCAACAACAACAACAACAACCAGACGTCCTGGCAGGCAACAACAACAACAACCACCAGACGTCCTGGCAGGCAACAACAACAACAACAACCAGACGTCCTGGCAGGCAACAACAACAACAACCAGACGTCCTGACAGGCAACAACAACAACAACAACCAGACGTCCTGACAGGCAACAACAACAACAACAACCAGACGTCCTGACAGGCAACAACAACAACAACAACAACAACCACCACCAGACGTCCTGGCAGGAAACAACAACAACAACAACCACCAGACGTCCTGGCAGGAAACAACAACAATGGACATCAGCAGCGGACACCCTTCTGAGCGCGCTCAGTCACCAGCAGCCTGTGTTTGTCGGCAGCTTCCTGGTCGGGCTGATTTCAGGGATCGATCTCTTTGATTGACGAACTGATGGTGTTTTTTTTACTCCGTGTTTTCTAACAGTTTTTAAACGTGTGTTTTATTCGAATGTTTGTAAAAGAAAAGTTCAGCAGTTTTATTTTTGAAAATTAAAAAGTGGGAAACTTTGGTTCTAATCTGAAGTCTTTCTTCTTTAACCTCGTCTGCTTTAATTTGAAAGGAACAGGAAGAGCTCGCTTATCAATGAGCTGTTTCCATGGCAACAGTCAGGAAACCAGGAGACAGAAACAACCGTAAGATAATTGGCCTGCACTACGAAGGGAGCTCAACCTCCTCAGAGTTAACTCGGGGTTATCAGGCAAACTCTGACCGCTACACTGGAGGTAAACGGTACTACCAAGGTGGATCAGATGTTGGTTAGTTGCGAGTTCGCATAAAAGCGACATGTTCCGCCGTGCAGGCAGAGTTTTTTGCAACGGCGCATGCTCCGTATTTCTCCAGAGGAACGCACGTTGGAAGTGTCAGGAAATTATGAATTAGTTAACGGCTAAATCTAATATCGTGGCGGCCGACAAAGCCAGGGAGGCTTGTTGGCATCGCATGGCGTAAATTAGCCTAATTATCTTCAGTGTTCTTATTGTAGCTCAGATCTCTCTTCTGTATTTTATGGGCTCTTCTTTTATGTGTAATATGATGAAGCTGCACATAAGGTCTGTTGTAACAAAGGAAGGAGCCAGCGGAGAGGAGGAATAATCTGAGATTATTCCAAGATCTACAAGTAAAAACTTGAATATTCTCTGACATTATAGTCCCACATTTATGAGAGAAACTTCACTTTGCAAGGCTGCAACATCACTCACACGTCTGCCGTGTATTATGCATGCACTGGAAAGTTAGATTAAACTTTGCAATCTGATTCAGCAGTGAGGAAACGCTCCTGAGTTTAGCCCACAGTCACCATCATGATCGGGCGTATTCAGAAGAAAACAGTGATTTTTGATTTTTTATGAGGGAATTTCCGATTTTTCTTCTTAGAAATTTCACACTTTCATCTAGGATTTTTTAAATCTAAATATTTGAAACCTCTCAGGAGAATTCAATTATAGCCTGCAGACGGGCTCCATCTAAGAAACTGTCCCGTTAATAAAGATTCATCTCTAAAATCCCAGCTGGGCTGCAGGGCTCGCTGTCTGAACGTGATGCTGTTGTGTTCAGAACTTCGCTGCAGCCTCAGTGGAACAAATCAGGATGAAAACTGAACAGATTTTATGAAGTAGTGTGTAATAATGCTTATTAATACAGATGAGGTGTGTAGTCCGCGCATCCAGGGTAACCTCGAGTTAACCACGAACAAAACCTGCTCGGAGCAGTTTAGAGATGCAGCGTAAATTGCCATAGCAACAGACCCCAGGTAACACCCGTCCACCTTTCGTAGTACTGGTTAATCGGGAAGTTATACCCGACGTCACAAAGTTACTCCTGAAGTTACCTGGATAAGCCGGTTACCTCGCTTCGTAGTACAGGCCAAATAACTCGAACTTTCTAAACACGTTAAACACTGCGAGGCTACTGTGATTGGGTCGGCCAGCTGTCTGGGCGGGGCCTCCAGGTGTGGGGCGGGGCCCTTCAGAAGGCCTTTAATGGGGAACAATGATGGGGTTATTGTTATTTATTTATTAACTGTGTTTATCTGAATTTATCTGAATCTTCAGACGAGGAACATGACAACATTCAGACTACAGGGTTCCAGGAAATACACTTTTTGTTACCTGATGTCACCACTAGATGTCAGTGTGACTCCTCCCTGCAGGAGTAAACGGCTGCTAGTAATACTACAATAATACTGCTGTAATACTGTAGTATTGTGGAAGTATCAGACTCCAGCATGGGTCTGAGCGGCGTTCCTCGTCTGACAGCAGGCCTGCGGCGAGGAGCCGAGTCAGGCAGCCTGAAACACGGCCTGCGTTTCACTAAGAGGGATGAAAACAATGAGATCTGATTCAAACTGAGGAAACAATGAATCCTGGGAAGATCCTGGAAGGTTGAATAACTGTGAAACGAATGTTGGCCGGTGCCGGTCCAGAGGAAATCACTTCGGAAAATCAGTTCAGCTGTGCTAAAGTGACTCCTCTCTGATAATGAACATGTGACTGGTTGGTGGGTGACGAACATTTAAAAGTAGAAACTCTGCTGGCTTTCTAGTTCATGCTGTTTTACCTGGTTCTATTATTAAAGAGGAAGCTGATCATTTCAGCTCTGGAGGTCTTGGAGAGGACCTTCCTGAATCAGCTGGAACAGGACGTGTGGATTTTTGCTTCACCATGAGTTCACCATGCCTCCAAAGCCTTTGATGACTATTTTTAAAGTTACAAAACAGAGGAGTTCCCAAAGCTTTAGTGAGAATTCAGTTATTGTGAAGTGTGTGAGTTTCTTTTTAATGTCTGGACGATTTATCAAAGCTGTGGAACAGCTGTGGCGGCGGCTGAACAGTCACTGAGGGTTCGCTCTCAGCACGGCTCAGACTGTGACATTTAAATACAGCGCAGAGAGGAGTAATATTCCCATTGTTAGGAGTAGAGAGGCTGTCCTTACGGTCTGTGGTGAGGCTGGATCTCTCTGATGACAGGGACCTTCACAGACAGTGTCGTATGATGTATGCACAGGCTCACGTGTTGAAGCCTTTTTAGAGCATTACCCCCACGTCAGCTGGCCGTTTGTGGAGCTGCTACAGAAAGAGCAGCATGCAGAAGCTCAGTGGAGGATATACTGATGTATGTGAGGTCATCAGACTCTGCGCTGACCAACCGGCACTAAGGTCTTTTCCAGAATGTGGAATCACTGGCGTTTCAGCCGTTATGTAAACAGGCCTGTTGTTTTATTCTGAGTCTTCTGGAGCGTCCTTAATAAAGCTCGATGAGACAGAGTGGTTAGTTTCAGGAACATGTTGAA